ATGCATTCAACTATGTGTATATGTGTGTGTGATCGCTTGTATATGTTTTCAAATATATGTATGTGTGTGCGTGATCGCTTGTACATGAGTTCAGCTATGTCTATATGTGTGTGTGATTGTATATGCTTTCAACTATATGTATGTGTGTGTGATCATGCTTTCACTATATGTATATATGTGTGTGATCACTTGTATCTGCTTTCAAATATGTATAGGTGCGTGTGATCGCTTGTATATACATTCATTTATATGTATATGTGTGTGATCGCTTGTACATGCTTTCAACTATATGTATATGTGTGTGTGATCGATTGTACATACTTTCAACTATATGTATATGTGTGCGTGATCGCATGAATATGCTTTCAACTATATATGTATATGTGTCTGTGATCACTTGTATATGTTTTTAACTATATATATATATATATACATATATATGTGTGTGTGTGATCGCTTCTATATGCTTTCAACTATATGTGTGTGTGATCGCTTCTCTATACTTTCAACTATATGTATATGTGTGTGTGATCGCTTCTATATGCTTTCAACTATATGTATATGTGTGTGTGTTATCGCATTGGTTTTGAACATTTAAAACTCTTTATTCTGCAATCTACATTATCATTTGACAAGACACCAGAAGTGTTGATTCAAAATAGCTATTTTTGTATTCATGTTATACATGCTTAAGTTATAATTTCTTAATATATATATATATATATATATATATATATATATATATATATATAGATAGATATAGATAGATAGATAGATAGATAGATAGATTTCGAACTTCATTGAAGATCGTTTATTTCATTATTCATAAAAATACCCCCTTGAGAAAGGTCTCAATCTCGCTCTAGCCATGGTTTAAATCAAAGGGCAGACTGGGCTCTTTAGACTTAGTGGGCAACCAGTCTATGAGAAGGAAAACTCTGAATGCAAAACCTAAGGAAGCTAATTTGGAGACGTTATGGCACACTATATGGACCTTTTCTCTTTTGCTCTTTGGAAAATCCGTAGTTGATTCGGCACAAGAATTTATCACTATCATCAAATTATATAAACAGTTAGGTTCTCAGACTTGGGCTGAACCCTGAAACATCGAGAGATTCTATTTTTATATATGACTTAAGAAAGATTGACATTGGGGAACAATGTATGTGTTTTAGAAAAAGAGAGAGTGTGGGGGAGGAAGATAGTGGATTTGGGAGACACATAATCAGATAGGGATTCATAGATACATATTATTCGACGTCACAGGAGCATCTTCTCTCGCCCGAAACCAAAAAAAAAAATACACACACACACACACACACACATATATATATATATATATATATATATATATATATATAGGTCTCCTTTTCTGAGGATTGGTTCAAGACAATCTTTATCCTGAACGCTTTTGCAACCCCGTTCCAGACTAAACCAAGCTTAGAAAATATCTTTATACGTCCCCTTTTATGATGAAGAAATCAATCGCATTTAGCAAAATGTTTTGGCAAGATTCCCGGCGTCTTGTCAATCTCATCGACAAAATCTCGCCGGCGCAGACGAGAAAATCCGTGATTGTAAGATAACTGACAAGATCCTGGCCAACAATTGATCTCTGATCTTCACTTGACGGTTGGCTGATGCTGGGACACGAGATTCTTTTTGAAAGTATTCCGATTACTCTGTTATTTTTCTCTACTAAATCTTATCGACTGCAAACAAGACATGGAGATTAACATAAATATCATATAAATGAGATTCCCGGGATTATATCGGGTAAAGTAAAGACAATCCGCAATGAATATACGTCTATAGATCTATATATACATATATCGGCTGCCTCCTTCTTCAAGCATAAAAAACAATCCTGTCGATACAGAGCTATGATGCGTACATTCTACCCCGGCTCATGAGATGCAAATAATAATGGTAATAAGAAAATCATAATAATAATAATTAGTATTATTATTCTCAAACAGAAAATATCTTTGAGTCCACCAAACCAGACATTTTTTCAAAATAAGATAATGCATCGTCATCGATGTGGCTGTTCTTGGCGACCACAGTATCGAGAATGAAGGAATTGTAAAGGCGACATCCGGGGTTGCCAGAATAGTGGAGGTTCAAGCCAACTATTGTCCCAGATACCATTAAGGCGTTTAGGTGTGTAATACTGCACCTAAAACCCTACAAAAAGAAAATCAGAATATATATATATATATATATATATATATATATATATATAGAGAGAGAGAGAGAGAGAGATTTTTTTTAAAAAAATATGATTCCTTCGCTACATAAGAGTTCCTATGTTTAAAAGACAAGAGCCGAAACCTTCAATAAAATTATTAGAAATAAATTGAATTAAAGTACCAAACTCTGTTCCATTTCGCTTGAAGATGGAAGAGAGCTTGGTACTTTAATTCAATTTAATTCAAATAATTATATTGAAGTTTTTGTCTCTTGTTTTGAAACATGAGAACTCTTATGTAACGAAGGAATCATAGTTTTAAATAAATAATTATATTTAGGCTCTACTTTTGTATCGAGCACTGTTTTTAAAAATAAAAACAAAATACTAAAGAAATTCGGATTGTTTTCATTCCTATCCCCCCATATATATATATATATATATATATATATATATATATGTAGTTAGCAAATCGGAGACTTCAGAAAGCCATTGAATATTTTATTTCGAGGGACTGATAAAATTTGATTTCGCTTCGTCAGACCTGACTGTTTCTAACCGGTTTGAAGACGCCAGGAGTGACCAAGTGAAATCGAATTTTATCAGTCCCTCGAAATAAAATATTCAATGGCTTTCTGAAGTCTCAGATTTGTTAATTAATAAGAACATGCTCTGTTCATTACATTGACCTCTCGTGATTTATATCTTCCCTGGAATTATACATAAGGATTACCAATTAACTTTCTCATATATATATATATATATATATATATATATATATATATATATATATATCTTACTTATTATAAAACGCAGATTGTGTGTGTGTGTGTGTGTGTGTGTGTACGTTTATATATTGGATTGGATTTCCTACATTTTTTAACCGATTTCAACAAAACTTCACAGGACTGCGTAAAATTACATTGCGGTGGTTCTGACAACGCCAAAAATTGGAAAAACACAATTGTTTTTGCACGAAATCAATTTGAAAACACGATAAAGCACGCTTCTGTCACACGAAGGAAAGGGGGACAACTCATATAGAGTTATACTTATAAAACCCAGGTTGTTTGTGTGTGTGTGTTCGTTTATATATGGGATCAGATTTTCTACATTTTTCAACCGATTTCAACAAAACTTCACTATTTTTGGGGCAGGTAGTGTTTCTTATTGTCTTGCACACTTTTTTCTTGATAATTGCTAAAGGTATAGCCGAAAGCCCGTGGAACAATAGAACGTTTGTACAGTTTCTACACACTCCATGTCCAAAAAAGAAAACACTTGTTCGAACACAAGAAAAGTTAAATAAAAAGCTTAACCGTAGTACATTAATACTTGGTAAGATAGATAGAATATGCTATCTTCCCCCCATGAATATGGAATCGGCTATTGCTCAACATTTAGTTGAGAATATAGCTTGTGCCAAGTTGTATAAAAAAGAGTGGTTTAAAATTATTCATACAGCCGATTCCAATAATCATTTGAAGATTTTGGAATCGGTCTGTATAGGATTAAGAAAACCTTCTCTCTGCCGGCAGAAAGAATTTATAAGGTCTCTGAATCTGTTGGGGGATATTTTATTTTAACTGTCCCTCGCTAATTTATTTACACGATCCCTTCCCTCGTTACAAGTATATATACTTGTTTGTTATTTTAGTGTGTTTCCCCCTTTTTTTTTTTTTGCTCTTCAATATCGTTAATATTCTTTTCGCTAATCCAACGATTGTCTCCTGATGAGATGTTGGCTGAAAGGGCCCTAGAGACTTTTAAAATTAAAATCAATGGTTTCCTTGTTTTTTTTTTATATATATATATATATATATATATATATATATATATATATATATATATATATGGGTCAATAGCAGGCAGACTGGGTTCTATAGCCTTGGATGGCAACGGGTTTACGAGAAGGACAACGCTGAATTCAAAACCTGAGGAGGGTCCTTTGGGGGCCTTGTGGCACGTAGTGCACCGAGTCTCTGTATTCGGCCCTTCAAAAAGTGTAGTCCGTACTGCAAAAAATCTAAATCAATCATGTGTTAGTCTCTGCTAGTCGGGTCCTAGGAACTGAGCTGCTTGACTCACATACGTCGAATACGACGGGAGAGACAACTATATATATATATATATCAAGACAGAAGTTTAAAGGCGGAGGAACTCTAATTAAATGTCAAGGGCGAGAAACCCTAACAACGACGTTGGGGAAGATGAAAGGAACAGAGAAAATGACGGGAGGGAGAGTGAGTGATTGAGAGAGAGAGAGAGTGAGTGTGTGAGTGAATGGGAGAGAGCGTGAGTGTGTAAGAGAGAGAGTGATTGTGTGAATGAGTGCGAGAGAGTGAATGTGTAAGAGAGAGTGAGTGAGTGTGTAAGAAAAAGAGAATAAGTGAGTGGGTGAGTGAGAGCGAGATTGAGAGAGAGAGAGCGTATAAGAGAAAGTGAGAGAGAGTGGGTGAGTGAGTGAGTGAGAGAGAGAGAGGTGAACGAGAGATGTTCTGGTGCTTAAGATAGACAGAAGCGGAGACAGTTTCACCGATCCAAAGAAGCAGGTGTAGTTTCACATCAAACATGTCTCTCTCCCAGTAAGTGCTTCTGGTGTCACGCACGTGTGTACCGATCGCGATAACATCGGAGGAGGAATCCATTTACCCAAAAGGAGATTTCACTAACGTACATGCGTTTCGCGAGGCGTTGATTTGTCCATTTATTTAGGCTGGTGAGCCTGTTTGCCAGATGCCGCCTATGCTTCCTGACCCGGATTCAAGAGCGGCAAGTGTAACAAGCATCGAATAAAAGACAAACGATAATGCCGTCTTCCGGTCAAACAAATAAAATCATCGAGAAACTTCACCATATGCATGTTCCTGTGTATTTGTCTCTTCTATTGTAAGTCATCATTAAATCTTTAATTTCACATTTTACAGAGTTCCTGATATTCTTGGTTCTCATCTTTGAGTTGGTCCATGAAATTATTTCAATCGAAGAACGGTCTATCTATCTATCTATCTATATATATATATATATATATATATATATATATATATATATATATATAAGTTATGAAGAACTTGGTAAACCGAATTGGTAAATCCAAGGAGAATGAAATCCTGAGAGCTCAATGTGAAGAACAGAGCTAATATTTAATGAACAACAGACACTTTAAGGTACCATTACAATAATTTATTTCACCAAAATCCTTTTTAAAGGATTTCGGATCATCAGGTAACACTTCCAACAATGAAATTAGAGGAAAAATGTGAATCACATTTTTCCTCTCATTTCATTGTAATGGTACCTATAAAGTGGTCTGTTTTTCATTAATATATATATATATATATATATATATATATATATATATATATATATATATATATATATATATGTATATCAGTCTATTCACATCTATCTCAGTCTGTTTGCCTCTCTCTCTCTCTATCTAGTTATCTATCTATATCTATATATATATATATATTTTCATACATGTTTCATTAAATAATATAGACAAGTTTTGTCTATTTCATGTAAATTCTTTTCATAACGTCTGATAAGAATAATAACATTATCAATTAAACGAAGAAAGAAAATCACAATATTGATACATATGTTTTATTCCAATCTAAGCATTCGACTTACATAAGCCATTATCAAAGATGACAATTACAGTACAATATATTAAGCAATACACGGACAAGAAAGTGATGATAGTCTGTTTCTGTTTGCATGGATGATTTCCAAGCATTGATAAACACGTGCATATAAGACGTTGGAAGTCTATCTATCTGTCTATCTCTTATTTATATTTGTCAGTTTAGGCTGCAAATTCTATTTTAGGCATGTCTGACTGAATAATTTACAAACAATATGTCTGCTTATTTTGATCATAATCCTTTCATATTCAAGAATATTTATCCTTATATTACAATTGAATGAGGCAAGAAATTCACTCTAACAGTGAGAATCACTTTTATTTCGGAAACACGTTGCATCTCTTTCTGAAAAACGCAAAAGAATAAAATTCAGTAATAGATAGCTACACATAGTTTTTGCATTAAAAATAGATAGATAGACGGATAGATGTGAATAGATTGATATATACATACATACATACATATATATATATATATATATATATATATATATGTGTGTGTGTGTGTGTGTGTGTGTGTGTGTGTGTGTGTGTGTGTGCTTGTGGATGTGTGTTACTTAAGGTTACTTGAATCCGCTACCATGGTTTCAGACTTATGGTATTCTCTGGCGATTTTTATGAAATGGCCTCTTGACCCTTAAAATTATTTGTAAGCACTGCGTACAGGAAAAATTAGGGAAAATGATATTTCCGGATCCAAAGAACTTTTTGGGCCAGAAATCCGAAATCTTGAATGTTATAAATATTAAAATGTGAAGCTGGACAAAAAAAAAAAAAAAAAATTACATTTCAATTGACCTCCACTCGCCATACTTTTACAATATACTTTCTTCTTCTTCTTCTTCTTCTTCTTCTTCTTCTTCTTCTTCTTCTTCTTCTTCTTCTTCCATCCATATGCATAAATAACATAGCGTTAATTAGATTTTTAAGAAAAAAAAGGTTGAAACCAAGGTAAGCCGATTCAACTGATCTCCTGACTTTAAAGTTAAAACTCTCGATGTTATTTTTACTTTTATTTTAGTTTTTCACACATGTAGTGAGCACTTTTCAAGACAACTGTTCTTGCTCCGAATTAACTCTGACGATTAAACTGCCCGCCTGGATTCCATACGCGCGTGAAAACACTAACACACACATATATATTTCATGAATCATTCATACAAAAAGTAGATTAGTAAAATTAATGATATAAATGGCGAAAAACATCTTCGCAAACAAATTTATTAAAGTTGCATTAACCTACGAACCACTCGATGAATGTTATGATCCTTGTTTTTAATAACTTCAAGCTGTATAAGGTCTTTTTTTTAATCTTCTACTACTTTCAACTGTACATTCAGTCATCCTCAGGTATGGAAATTATTTTGTTTTTAGTAAATCCAGGTAATAGCGGACACGAAAAATTAAATGCGAATCGAAATACGTTTTTTTTTAGAAATGTGTTAATGTTAACGGATAAAAACTTTTGGAGCGTGCAGTCCCAACGCTAAGGTTGAATTTTTTTGAAAGTTTTAGAGTTCGTTTTTTACTAATATGGTAAATTTAGAATTTATTTGTTGTAGGAGTTTATCAGTCGATGTGGCATGAACTAAATTGTCCAATAAAAAGGGTAATGTCTCAGTCGTTATCCCGAAAATTTTCATGTCGGATCAATTCTTTTTAAATCAAATATGTGGTGCAGTTCAATTTATATTAAAATGAACCATTCATACAAAAAGTAGATTAGTAAAGTTAATATTATAAATGACGAAAAACATCTTCGCAAACAAATTTATTAAAGTTGCATTAACCTACGAATTACTCGATGAATGTTATGATCCTTGTTTTTAATAACTTCAAGTTTTATAAGGTGTTTTTTTAATCTGCTAGTACTATATGAATTCCGATGAGAATTCGACATATACAGGAAGCCCTCAATTAATGGGCATTTGATTAACGCGTTTTCGATTAGTGTGCTAACATTTTAATACCACAATTCGATTAGTGCATGTATAATACGGGATTAGTGCAATAAACCATTCTTCACTTTAACCATAGTAGTTGAAAATAGCTTTCTTGTAGTTACCGATTTATAAAGATATTTCAAAAATTAAAAAAATGGAAAAAAATTTTTATATATATATATATATATATATATATATATATATATATATATATATATATATGTTTGAAAAAGTGATTAATCGGCAGTAATATATAGTAATCAAGAACTGTGAAATTATTTTAAAATGTCAAGAGATCACTTGGTAGGGACATCTCTTTTTTATTTATGTCAGTATACCGCTAATTGTTTTTATTAATTATAAAAGTTAATATATAGTCTTATATATATATATATATATATATATATATATATATATATATATATATATATATATGAGATATCGTTAATTAAAGAGCTTAATCGGCAGTAATTCATAGTAATCAAGAACTCTGAAATTATTTTAAAATGTCAAGAGATCACGTGGTATGGGCATCATCTCTTTTGAGGGATGTGAGGCGAATTGTATTTACAAAGCCAATTTGACTACCTATTAACTTTTCCAATTAATAAAACAATCAGCTGTATGCACACGCATACACGCAGATACATGCATGTGTGTGCGCGTGTGTATGGGCTTGTGAAAGTAGTTTCGAAGCAGGGATTAAACATTGAATTTCATATGTTTTTTCATATGTTTCCGTTTCTTAAAAGTGTTGAAAACCTATGGTGATGTCAGAATTTGGAAAATTATTTCTCATTTTTTCTTGAGAAATTTCAGTTGATATTATTGTTTGTTGAATCCACCTGGTACTCGGACATTTTGCCGACGGACATTTAGCTGATGGATATTTGGCTGACGGACATTTAACCGACGGTTATTTGCACGACGGACATTTGCACGACGGACATTTGCACGACGGATATTTTGCCGACGTTCATTTGGCTGACGGACATTTGGACGACGAATATTTGGCCGACTGGCATTTGGCCGACGGATATTTGACGGACGTACATTTGGCCGACGGGCATTTAGCCAACGTATATTTGGCCGACGGATATTTGTCCGACGGATATTTGCCGACGGGCATTTAGCCGACGGACATTTGCCCGACGGATATTTGGCCGCGGACATTTGACATTTGGCCGACGGGGATTTAGCCGACGGATATTTGGCCGACGGGCATTTAGCCGACGGACATTTAGCCGACGGACATTTAGCCGACGAACATTTGACAGTTGGCCGACGGATATTTGGCCGACGGGCATTGGCCGACGGATATTTGACGGACGTACATTTGCCCGACGGATATTTGGCCGACGGATATTTGACGGACGTACATTTGCCCGACGGATATTTGGCCGACGGGCATTAGGCCGACGGGCATTAAGCCAACGTACATTTGGCCGACGGATATTTGGCCGACGGGCATTTAGCCGACGGGCATTTAGCCGAATGTTCGTTTAGACGAAAATATAGTGACATACATACATCTATGTCACACTCTTTATCGTAATGTGCTATATATATTTATATTTATTTATTGTATTAATTTATAAATTAAAAAAAAAAAATAGTCTGTATATATTATATTTTACTTCAAATATTTCTGTATGATGATAAGATCATTCAATTTAATTTTCGCTTTTAATGATCATTATCTTAAAGGGATGAACTTGCTTTTATCTTACTGTTAAATACGAATTTAAATAAATAGGTGGTACGTTTTATCTAAATACACTCAAATATTTTTTAAAATACCAATTTCAATAAGCAAATATTGAAATAAGAAAACTTTTAACTTTAAAATTAGATTCCGTAATTTAATCACTTGAAATTCAGGGGTAATTATTAGCCCTATTCTACATTATAATAATGCTAATTAAAATACTTAAAGTATTCCTTGTACTATTTTTAGTTGTACTTTTTCAATGAAATGTCATACGGCCAAATGTCATACGGCCAAATGTCATACGGTCAAATGTCTGGCCAAGATCCCCACAACGTTCAAAACTACTATTTCCTCTTGGGAAACTGAATTGGAGATTGGCAAAACTTATCCCTGTCTACTGCCGAGATAATAATTCTGAAGTATAGAAATATTGAAATAAAAAAAAATTAATTAATTAAAAATTTACCTAAAGTCTTCATGCTGGAAATGCTTTGTCTCGACATGCTTTCTAAAATCTGCTCAAATAGAGAAAATTCTGTTTTTTTTTCTTCTTAAATCTTTTCTTTGTCGAGCTGAGAATTTTCAACGTTCTCTCATATTAACACATGGTCACCGTAGTAAAAACAAGGCAAATGACGCCTATGCTATCGTATATATGCCCCGCTTGTTCATGACACTATCTCTTTTGCAAAGCACATATCATGAGATTAACATCGGATAAACACGTGGAGTCAATGTTTCAGCAATTGTTCTTACTCTTATTTTCCAGCGAAAGAAAGAGGAGCGTATAGAGATTATACGGCTGCAAATGTTCACATATATATATATATATATATATATATATATATATATATATATATATATATATATATATATATATATGAGACGTGTTAAAAATTCTCAAATGAAATAATCATATATTGAAGTAATATAGGAATGCTAATTTTAGAAAATGGGTCCAACTGAAAAATTATGATATAACGATATATAAATTTGTATAATTTTATATATCAACAAAGAATATTTAGAAAAATATTTAAAAAAAACTGTAAAATTTCATGTGACGTGTTTGATCCGTTAGGATTTTAAATCTGAATTAGAAATCAAGTTTTGAATCCTAACGAATGAAACGCGTCACAAGAAATTTATATATATATATATATATATATATATATGACTGCCCAAATGTTATTTTCATCGGAGCGCTTTCGGCTATGCATTTTCAAAGTTGAAATATATTAACTGTTAACAAAAAACAGTCTGTTGCATGTATGTATTTATATAATGCTTCCATTTTCAAAACACGGTCAACATTGTGTCCATGTACATAGTTAATATTATTGAGTGTGTTTTTGTTTTTGTTTTTTTTTATTAATGATAAGGCTTCCGTTAATTTTAGTCTTTTTTGCATGTAGATGATGCTATTATTTTCGTGTTGTCAAACAAGTATTTTAAATGAAATCTAATTGAACTATGATCAGAATGGTGTAGAATAAGTGTCAAACAATTTGTTTCTATTCCTGTCGTTGCTATTAACTATCTTAGACAAAAAACGCCTAATATGAAAATTTAACAACAGATTAGGAACTAAATCAAAGCACCTTGTCTGTCGTATTCAGTGAAATGTGAATATATATATATATATATATATATATATATATATATAAAGAAAGAACAGTAAGAAATATAATCCGGTGTTCTTATAGATATTTTTATTTTCACAAAATAGTGCTCAATGTAATTTTACAGAGCATTAATATTATCAATTATTTGATTTAAAATATGTTTGTCCGCTACACAGTTCTGACCATGTTTCAAAAATGGAAGCTAAAAGCTTCGAATTTAATTTTGTAATTAAATTAAAGACATTAGTTCCATTTCATCCTCAAACGAATTTTGGAGTAACTTAATTATTCCTGGGTTTTAAAGGCACAGCAAAAAATCATAATTCACGTTTCCAAGGATACAGAGAAATCTATTCATCTAGACAATCGCTATATTTTGTTGTATCAGTTATTAGTTACGATTTGGTAGGGGTAGCGATGTATTTTTCAACGAATTCTGACATCCGTTAAATGCATATCGTCTGGATTTTAAAAAAAAATTAATGTTAACGACAAAAATTCTTACGTTATTTTTTTCCATTTGTATACCTAAAGATTTGATGGGTGGCTAGTTTAAAATACGTTTTATTTAACTACGATTTTAAAAATATTTTCACTTTAATTTTTAATGTACTATATTTCTTTTTATAACAAGTAAATGTATTAGAATTACTTAGAGTATGTAAAATTATTTTCACATCAAGTGTAAGTATGTATATTACTAGATCACTATTTTTTAAAAATTTATATTTAAATATTATTTAAGTAAAATTTATGACAACGACGGCAAAAATAGCTAATTAGTTTCTCTGATTTTGTAAACTTTTATTTTTTATATATTTTATATAAATCCAGTAATATATAGTTTCTCATGTAAGTACGAAGGACATGGGTCATTTAATGGCTTACATCTTCTAGCTTTTCATATTAATTTCATTTTACTGTAGGTGTTTATTGGATTCTTTTAAGTGCTTGTAGTACTTTGAGAGAGGTGTTTAGGTTAGAATATGTTTTATTTAACTACACTTTTAAAAGATGTTTTGGTTAGAATTCGTTTTAATTTAACGACAATTTTTAAATACAACTTTCAAATATTTTCAGTGTTAATTTTAATAGACTATATTTCTTTTAAAAATAAGTAAATGTATTAGAAATACTTACTTAGTAAAATTATTTTTCCATATCAAGTATGAATAAAATTATTTTTCCATATGAAGTATAAGTATATATATATGTATACTTGATATTAAAAATAATTTTACTAACTCTGCATGCTACCACCAATATCTACAATGTATTCATTTACAAGGGCGAAATCAGGCCTAAAATGGAACAGTCTTGTTATATTTGGGTGTGAGCTGTCCATTTCTTATTCCTCAGTCTCGATATAGTCCAAAAATGTTTTCAAGTCTGGCGGACAACTAATTATATTCTACTCTCCAAAATGGCAAGCTTTCACTGCCTTGTCGCCCATGGAAAGTGATCAGGCTAACTACATTCCTTTGGTCGGCGAGTTCTAACCGTCAGGGCTTAGATCCGCTATAGCAGTCGAGTCCCAAGACGATGTATTTCGGCGATCACTACACCCTTAACCTGTTCAAGTCTAAGGTTAACAGTAATCTTTCTCTTTTATCCGCATAATCTGCCTCTTAATGTAACCTTCTATCTAGTGTGGACTCCGTGCCTCGTACAGGGTGAACCTTACTATAATATATATATATATATATATATATATATATATATATATATATATATATATATATCCATGAGAACGGATATGTATCACCATATTTTGTCCTTCACCTATAGCACTTTCCGAAATAATACATCACCTTCTAAATATTTTTGGAGTTTAAAACATGATAAAATACTCCTAAGGTGAAATGGAAATTTCTAAAAACAACAAGAACATACAGATCATTATATGAACCCATTTTGTGCTTACATAAAAAATGGAAATTACCAAATATAATAAAAATTCCTCGTTGAATCAAAGAAGTGAATTAACTGTAAATTGTAGACATAGTTTACTTTTTACCGTACAATTTAGATAAACTTTGGAATTTGATGATTGTTTTTCTTATTTTTTAGTTGTATTGTGTTGCAAAATATATGACTTATCTTTCTATTTATAAGATTAATTTACTTTTAAGATAATTATGTATTAATTTCCTGGTAGTATTATTAACATCTTGCACGGATCTGTTGGTATTTAGTTGGCATTTTTGATATTTTACACTGATTGGATAGTGTTATAACATCTTATATATAGAATCTTTATTCTACAGTTGCATATTAATTTATCAAATAATTCTATACGTTTAATTTATTTACTAGTTTCATAAAGAAGCTATTTATTTATCAACTATAGAAAAAAATTATGTAGGAAATTCACAAAGCATATAACATGTTTAGCATTTTGTTACATTACCTATCCAGCCCATTTTATGCCTTAGGAAACTGCATCGTCTTGTTTGTATAATTTCTGTTACCATTTGCATCGGCTTTATTTAATGTCTGGCTGCCGATAGCTGCCAATCTACTCATTAATAATTTTTTTTTAAATTTTCTTCTTCGCTTAATTTGAATTTAACGTAGGTCATACTTGATTGGGTGATCAAAGTAAAGCCCAGTTAGTTCCTATCTATCTATCTATCTATCTATCTATCTATCTATCTATCTATCTATCTATCTATCTCAGTCTATTCATATCTAAGTTTCTTAAAATCTATCTGTCTATATATCTTTTATCACTGTATTCATATCTATCTATCTATCTCAGTCTATTCGTATCTATGTATCTATCTATATATTTTAGTCTATTTGACTTTATTCATAAATATCTATTTTAGTCTGTTCATATATGTATCTATCTATCTATCTATCTATCTATCTATCTATCTATCTATCTAAGTCTCTTAAAATCTATCTATATATCTATCATTTTCAGTTTATTTGTATCTATTTCAGTCCATTTATATCTATCTATCTATCTATCTATCTCTGTCTTTATATATATATATATATATATATATATATATATATATATATATATATATATATATATATATATATCAGTCTTTCAGGTTTTTCATATCTGTCTATCTATCTATCTCTATGTATCGCAACGTCGGCATCATAAGCTTCATGACATGAGAGTTATCTGATGAATGTCGCTTGTCACGGTAATTACAATGTTATTGACAAGATAACTTTTGGAGAGACATTGTCGTGCGATTAACATCAAACACATGGAGTGCAAATGAAAAATGGCAATGTGGAAATCGTTGAGGAAGAGACTGATTCATCGTGAATTTGAAGAGAATTACGAAATAAATCCGAAATCATAATCTTGATTGCAATATTATTTTTTTAAATGACAGCTTCATCTCCCATTATTCAAAAAAACTATTTGATATATATTAACAGACGGTGTAACATATCTTCTTTTTTAAGTTATATACTCAGTTTGAAATGTTATTTGACATGTGTGCTGTTGCATAAAAATCGTGTTTTTCTAGAGTGTGTCTGCATTTACATATATGGCGAACTATCTATCTATCTATCTATCTGTCTGTATATCTATCTATTTATCTATCTATCTGTCTGTCTGTATATCTATCTATCTAACTATCTCAGTTTTTCATGCCATTTTTAGTCTTTTCATATTTATTTCAGTCTTTTCATATCTATCTATCTATCTCAGTCATTTTATACCTACTTCAGTCTTTTCATATCTATCTATCTATATATATATATATATATATCAGTATTTTCATATCTATTTCAGCCTTTTCATATCTATCTCAGTTTTTTCATGTCTATTTTTCTTTTTCATATCTATCTATCTATCTGTCTATCTATCTATCTATCTATCTATCTCAGTCTTTTCATATCTATTTCAGTCTTTTCATATCTATCTATCTATTACAAAGGTTCACCGACGATCACCGAAATCAGACAACCTTGAGCCTGGTCAATAACTAGAACAGTGACAGCTTGGGAATACCTGGTGCTGTAAGCTTGCAAGTGCGTGTGGTGTTTGGATAAAGTATCGGAAATGGGGATAGGAAAGCCGAGTTCCAATTACAGTTGGGTTAATTGTCTGGAAAGATATGAACCCAACGCTTCCACCCCTAGAGTTGGGCTAAATAGTAAATCTCGTATCATTAAATCCTTATTATCTCCCTCGAAATCTACTACATAAAAATATTTTCTGGCTCTAAATAACCTGCAAAAGTTTGATAAACCGAAAGAAACAAATTTCAAATCCACCTTTTTTTATTTCATTTTGATTTCTCTCTCACTAATATATATATATATATATATATATATATATATATATATATATAATGGACTCTCCCGTCGGTTTCGATGTATGAGCATCTGACAGCTTATTGATTCCCTTATGAAAGTTTGTGCGATAATCTTAAGTGGCATTTAAGACCCGCTAGTGATTTACAAAGGAGGCCACATATGAAGCAAGAGTGAGGATTGTGAGATGCGATCACTGTTAGACTTGCTGACCTTTTAGATCTTGCTCTCGCTTCTTGAAGATGATTCAGACAAGCAGATTGAAAATTGCTGAGTCCACTAAAACATGTTGATCTCCATTCTACCCGCTCCAAAGCTAAGCGCTCAAGGGTATTACGTGGTATATATATATATATATATATATATATATATATATATATATAATGGAAATGATCTGTCGGACAATTATTTTAATATATTGCTTCTACGTTAATTTAATAGATACACATATTTAAGTAAATGCTCTGTTTATAATAAACAGTATTTACCGGCCTGATTATCCGAGAAATTTCATAGAAAATATGTCCTCCGACCGGAATCGAACCTGTATCTTACACGAAACTGTCATATTGCTTGACGTGCTATACCATTTAGCTACAGAGCAAACGTCTCATTAGCAAGGTCGAATTACTGCTTTTAAACTACAAATTTGCTATGATTTCTCTCGAACGCTCATATCTGTTCGAAGCGTATCTTAACGCAAATGGTATAGATAAACAGTATAAGGCGATTTTGAGTTGTCCTGTACCCTGTAAAAATTGTTCGAATGTTCTATATACCCAAGCGCTGTTGGTTATACTGTCAAAAATCATTTTTACTGAATATGTATATTTTTCTATATGTATCTACTTTCCAAACTGATTTTATTTAATCTATGAGTTAAACAAAAAGTCCACTTCAAAATCTCCTGGAGGTTATCTGGATTGACCTACAACTGATGAAGGCCGAAACGTTGTGATAACAACAACAAAAATGAGAACAATATTCCTTATGTAAATAGTCCAAATAATAATAACCTCTAACCCTAGAAATATGGCACCTTGCATTTATTGGAAATATTCATAGAAATATGAGTTAATTTTTTCTTATTCAGTTTATTAAACAGGTTGTTAATTTTTTTTCTTTAAAACGGAAAATAACTGGGTTGAAAATAATTCACTAAGAATGTACTAAACGATCCTAAAGCAAGGAAAAAGAAAGAAAGGAAAAAGGAAGAAAGGAAAGATAATAACAAAAGGGGGAAAGAAAGGAAAAGACATGATATCAAAACAGGCCGCTGGGTGTGGACCAGATGTCGGTCAGAGCCTCTGACTGACCTTAATTTTTGTTGAAAGAATAGAATTGGAGATATCGGTCGCGAGCGCTGACCGACATTTTCGTAGAAGAATTCTTATCAAAATAACGAAAGGTAACTTTTAAATTAGAATAATAGAAATGAATTTTACTTTAGTCAGAGAGAAAGTGTCTTTGGGTTGGGGAAGTGACTGGTGAAAACGATATACGGAATTGACCTGTTAAGAATTGGACACCCACGTTAAGAAAGTAGAGATATTTCGACCTAGATAATTAAGATTCTCGGCTATCAGGAAAAACAAAGAGGTAAAAAAGAAGAGCAATTGTTTTTGGACCACGGAGGGCGCCAGGAAGGCGGAAAAGATCCTTTCTAAAAGTCAAGACTAATTAGCAGCGGGCTGTTTGACAAAGTCCAGGTGAGAGAGGGCAAGGATTGTCATTTTGCGTACGTGCAAAAAGGTGCGAAATCGGATTTTGTTTTTTTAAAACCAGCACGATGTAACCACACCCGCCAACAAAAAGGGAGAGGGTGTTCGGTCAATAACAATTGGTCGAATACAATCACGTGACCGCGGAAGAAGAAGGAAAGAAAACCTCGATCAATAACTGTTGGACGAGGCGGTCACGTGGGCTGCGGAAAAGAAAGAAAGAAAGGTTCGATCGGGAACGATTGGTTGAGAGCGATCACCTGACATGAGAGAGACTAAGAGAAATAGATATGCGCCGCCCCCCAAGAGCACTGTGAGAAAGTAGGGGTGAAAACAATAACGATAATGGAAAGTCAAAATTAATACGGCTTTTGAAATTGTCGAGAAACCCCTGACGCCGACCGACCCACCCCGGTTTGTTGCGGCGTCAATATAAGCAGGACCCCAGTCGGCAGAAATCAGTTGGAGCTGAAGTTGAGTTGAAGTTGGAGTTAGGTTGGGCGTGAGTTGCAGTTCACCTCGGACGACAGAAGAATCCTCGAAACAAGAAATCCTTCCAGCCCAAGTTGAAGACAAGAAATCTTCCACCGAATTGAAGCAAGAAATCTTCCACTGAATCGAAGCAAGAAATCTTCCACTGAATCGAAGCAAGAAATCTTCCACTGGGTTGAAACAAGAAATCTACCAGTCTAAACAAACGAAGAAGAAGAAATACAGCTCACGTCGAAGAGAAGAACCAACTGCGAACGACCGATAGAAATTAGCCCAATGTCGAACTGAACCACACGCCGACATACATACATGATTCTAGAAAGTAGGTAGTTCGACATTTTTTTTTTTGCTATTTTTGTGATAGAAACTTGGTGCCATAGTTCACAGAACGGGTCGGGAAGTGAGAACTATTTTGCTTTTATGTAATAGACATTGAGATATAAAAGGTTGTTACCCTTTTTTATCAGCAATTTTGTTTGGTGTCGTGAGTTTTTGTTTTGTTGTGTTTCGCCACCCCGTCGGACTCAGCTCGTATCGGCCCCAGCCCCTGCTGGTCCCGTCTGTCTAAGATCTAAACACAGCGTGGGTAGACAGACCGGAGATCGGTACAGTTGTTTTTAGTGACCAGGTGTTGGAAGCGAGTCGGGAGAGGCGAGGCTGGTGATCATCTGACCAGAGGGTTGGAGCGGCACGCTTGGACCCAGGAGGAGCGACCAGGAGGAGCGACGTCACCGTCGGCGCCGTAACCAAAGGATCCGACACTGGGCCAGGTGTGTAACCGTCACAAGTGGTGCCGTGACCAACGGATCAACCCTGAGACAACCACGTCACATATGGTGCCGTGGTGACCGAGGATTTCAACCCTGAGAAGACCACAATCGACCGCCGTTGCTGAAAGTTCAAGCAGAAATCAGAACGACCCGGGACCAAAGGAAAGAAGGAACAGAATCGTCTGTAAGGTAGGACACCTTGTTTATTTCCCTACCTCGATTGTTGCTCTCTGTAGACATGTCAGATTATGAGTCGGATAGAGCAGTGGGGGTGAAGAAGAAGTAGGGCGGGGGTTGTCAGTAGATTTAAGGGGGCTGTTGGGTGGACCGAGGGTCCCAGTGTTTGATGGTAGTGGGAAGGAGTTCAGGAACTGGCTGACAATCCTCGAAAAGAGCCGAACCATCTACGAGCTCTCGGACCAGGAAACCCTGTACCTGGCATACGATGCCACAAAGGGAAAAGCGTCGGAGTTCGTAAGGGGACTCTTGGAAAATCATCCCCGCTTGGCCTGGGAAGAAGTAAAAAACTGCTGACCAAAGAGTTCGCCGACGAGGGTACGGCCATAGAGGCCATGAGGGCCCTTTTAAAACTAACACAGCTTCGGGAGGAGACCCCGGGAGAATTGGGGGCCCGAGCGGGAAGGCTATCGTCATTAGCATTCCCCGAGGTGGTCAGGGACAACGCAGTCATGCAGGCCCAACTGGCGGACCTGTATGTGGAAGCTCTGAGTGATGAGCGTGTTCGGCACGACGTCCTGAAAGAGGGACCGCTCAGACTGTCGGCAGCGATAGAGCTGGCCAGGGAGAGCCAGGGGTATGGGATAAGGTGAAGAGGTGTGGGAAGAAGCAGATACCAAGTCAAGAGGCTGGAAGAAGGGGGGTAGGCGGAAGAACCCCCGTGTGGAATCAGAGGGTTAAGGAAGAGGTGGATCGGGCAGAATTATGGGAGGAGGACCCCAATAGAAGGGCATGGTCGACCAGGCATGGCTTTTATAAGCCCACGCCGGGTCGATACGGGCTGGTCTGCTGGACCTGTGGGTACGAGGACCACAGGGCGGCGGAATGTCCGACGAAGTGGGGGTTGCCCCCAGACTTCGATCGTGACAGGTGCACCAGGTGTGGTAAGAAAGGACACCTGGCCAAGTGGTGCGGGCTGAGGAAGGGTGCCCCACCAATATTAACAAAGAAGGCCGAGCCCAAGAAAAGCCAGCGGGCCACCCCAGAATTAAGAGGGAGGGTGGCCCAGTTAAAAAGGAGAGAAATAAAAACTTGGACCAGTGGGTGGGCGAACCGCTTGGATAGGGGACGGGTTACCCCGAGGATAGACACAAGGCCAACCCAGTTAAAAAGAGAAAGAGCAAGATGTTGGACATGTGGTCGGATGGGCCACTTTGCGGCAAGCTGTCCGACAAGAAGGTGCTGGCTTTGCAGGAGGCCAGGACACCTGAGAAGAAACTGTATTCTTAGAAACGGCCACGAGAGACCGAGAGAGGTCCGGCCAGGGTCACCCAGGTGCAGGGGCGCAGAACTCCACCTCATAAAAGAAATGAAGATGAATTATTATTACCGGCGCCTATGGCTGGGTTAACCCAAAGGTGGGGACCCAGGAAGAAGAAAGCCCAGGTGTTCTCTTCGCTAACGCAAGAGAGAGAACTATCCTGTAAAGCAGAGATAGGTGGTAGAGAGATGAGGGGCCTTAGTGGACACAGGAGCATCTGTGTCATTGATGAGAGAGGAGATATACAGGCGGGTGAAACGGAAGAGAAGGTTACGAGAAGCGGACATAGAGATCACGCAAGCAGACGGGGCCCCCCCTGGAGATAAGGGGATGGTGAGGCTCCCGGTGAGGATTGGGAGGGTGAAAAGCACCCAAAATTTTTATGTAACCCCCGACCTATGTACAGAGGCAATCTTGGGAGAAGATTGGCTCCGGAGCCAGAGGGCCCAGATTGAGTTTAATCCTACTGTGTTGGTGGTGAACGGCGAGAGAACGCCATTGGGATGCCCACCAGAGGAAGAGATAACCATAGTGGTGGAGGAAGATGTAAAGTTACCTCCTAGGACCGCAGTGTCGGGAAAGGGTAGGCTAATGTCAAAAAAAAACGGTACGGAGAGGACCTCTGCAGTTGGTCCCTGTAGAAGGAAAGGGCCTAGAGGATAACGAGGTAACCCTGTGCGAAACGGTAGTGGAGGCAGCCGAGTTGGTGCCCATAATGATGGTGAACCAGGCCCAAAAAAGACAATAAAAAAGGTTAGGAGAGGGAGAAGATGGGAAGAGCACTTCCCTACGAACTCTGAATCGGGTGAGATTCGAGGAGGAACGAAGGAAGCTAGTAGAGCAAACAAAAGGAATCTTAGATGAGGATATATTAGCACCGGATCAATTTAGAACCAGAGTGGGGGGGTCTGTTAAGGAACAATCGAGATGTGGTAGCCCAGTCAGATAAGGAACTAGGTCAGACCCACACAGTCGAAATGAAAATCGACACCGGAGACCACCCCCTGTGAAATTAAAACCCTACCGAACACCTATACATAAAAGACCCCTTGTAGAAGAGGCAGTAGAGGAAATGTTGGAAGCTGGGATGATCGAAAGATCGATCTCTCCTTGGAGCTTCCCAATAGTAATAGTAGGTAAGAAAGATGGCGGCCACCGTTTCTGTGTAGATTTTAGAAAGCTGAATTCTATATCGAAGCCGTTGGCGGTGCCATTGCCATTGATAGACGACATTTTGGCATTATTAGGGAAGGCAAAGTACTTCTCTACGTTGGACTTGAGGTCCGGGTATTGGCAGGTAGCCCTGGATGAGGCTGACAAGGAGAAGGCCGCATTCGCGTGTCACCTGGGACTGTTTCAGTTCAGAGTGATGCCATTCGGTTTAGCTAATGCCCTGGGAGTCTTCCAACAGCTAATGTCAATAGTGTTAGGAGGATACGAGAGCTTTGCCATGGTACGTATTTGGACGATATCTTGATATTTTCGGAGACAGTGGAACAACACTTTTTCATTTAGGACAGGTGTTGGGAAGGTTGAGGAAACACGGATTAAAATTGAAATTGTCAAAGTGTCAGTTTCTGAGGAAGAAACTAGGTATTTAGGCTTCGTCATAAACGGAGACGGTATTAAACCCGACATGGATAAGGTAAAGGTCATAAGGGAAATGCCAGAGCCTAAGACAGTGAGGCAGGTAAGAGGTTTTATAGGAGCTATAGGCTACTACCGGCGCTTCGTCCCGGCATTTTCAAGAATTGCCATACCGCTAGTGGCCCTGACGAAGAAATACGCTAGGTTCAAGTGGACAGAGGACTGTCAACGAGCATTTGATTCGCTAAAGGAACAGTTGACAACCGTTCCACTGCTGACGTATCCAGACCTCAGCAAGCCCATGATATTATACACGGATGCCAGTGAGCAGTGTGTAGGAGCAGTACTTACCCAGCCGTGTCCTGATAAGGAAGGACCAGTGCCAGGCATACCAGAGGAAGTACCGATATACTTCCTCTCCCATAAGCTCTCAGAGACACAACAGAGGTGGCCAGTAATAGAGAGGGAAGCATATGCTATCATGTATGCTCTCCAAAAACTGGACTACTATTTAAATGGTGCGGTCTTCACTATAAAGACGGACCACAAGCCTCTGCAGTATCTATTGCAGGCAGAGTGGACAAATAATAAGAAAAATTCAACAGTGGGCACTTAAGTTAAGTGGCTACCACTGTAAGATAGAGTATTTGGCAGGAAGGGAAAACACGTGCGCAGATTTACTCTCAAGAATACCGAAACAACTGGAAGAAAGATCTGTAAAAAGGTAGAACAGGGAGTAGATGATAAAGCCTATAGAATAGGAGTAATTAACTCTAATAAGCTAAAAGATCGCCCTATGTTAGAATCGGACGAAGAAGGGGACGCCCAGATAATAACCGATCCTTACTGGACAGAAGGAATTGAGAAGGAGCAAGCAGACAGTGAAATAGCTGCTCTGAGAGAGAAGGTGAAGTCAGGAGAGACCACCAAGTATGCCATAATAGAGGAAAGGCTGTATTATCTCTCAGGAAGGGATGAAGAAGTCAAACCCAAGTTGTATGTGCCCAAAAGTTTAAGACCAGAGATATTGGAACAGTGCCACGAAAGGTTGGGTCACATGGGAATTGATAGGACATGTGATCTCATAGGAAGAAAGTACTATTGGCCCAAACTGTACGGAGAAGTCACTAACTATGTTCGAAGTTGTGTAGTGTGCCAGTCGCAGAGCAGAAGGCAGGAAATGGCACCCTTGGAGGAAACAGACGTACCAAACTTCCCTTCGAGAAAGTGAGTATGGATGTATCAGGACCATATGGGGAAACTGCACAAGGAAACAACTATATAGTGAGTTTTGTCGATTGGCTAACAAATTGGCCTGAGGCATTTGCAGTACCAGACAAGAAGGCCAGAACTGTGGCCGGGTTGATAATAAGCGAAATCTTCCCTAGGTATGGTGCCCCTGTGCAGTTGGTAACAGATAATGGCACGGAGAATGTGAACAGCATCATGAGAGAGGTTTTGACAGGTTTGAATGTAGAGCACATAAAAACATCCCCATATCACCCCAGGGAAATGCTAAAGTGGAAAGGTTTCATAGAACCTTGGGAGATGTATTGGCCAAGTTGGTCAGGGAAAACACTGGAAATTGGGACTTGTATTTGACGCAGGCTCTGGCGGCCGTGAGGTTTACGATAAACGAAACCTCCCGATTTTCTCCTTATTTTTTTTGTTGTTTGGCAGAGACGTGGTCCTGCCTGTAGATAACCTACTGAAGCCCCGAAGAAGGTATATGGGAGAAGATCATCATCAACTATTGCTGGAACAGCAACATAAGATATTCGTACAGGCCAGAAGAAGAATAAAGAGGGCCCAGAAGAAAAGAAATGAAAGGGTGAATGCTGAAAGAAAGGTGGTAGAATTGAGGGTTGGAGACCCTGTCTACTATAAAATCCACCAGAGAGAAGGAAAACTAGACCAGAGATGGGAACCGTACTACCGGATAGTAGAGCAGACGGGCCCCGTATCATATGTAATATGGGATCAAGTGGCAGGACGAGCGAGGAGGGTTCATGCCAATGATCTGAAGAAGGCTGAAATAGCTAACCTGGAAATGAGCGAGCCGAGGCCTAAGAAGACAAGGAAAAGGAAGGTAACTCTGGTTGAACCGGAAGAAATGGAGACGGAGGAAGACTCCGAGGAAGATGAGGAGATAGGTCGACTTGACCAGATAAACGAAGCAGTCCGAGTGACGGAGTTGGAACCCTCAGCGGGGATTAGCGATGTTCAGTCGTCGACTGAATCAGTGCAGAGAAGACCCTGTGAAATCGCCATCGCACCCCCATGTCCGAAGAAAAGGAAGAAAAAGACGAAGAGGTCCAAACAAGCAGTCGAAGGCTTTAAAAAGAGGCACCCTGAACAGGACGAAGGGTCCAGCGAGTGGGAGGAGGAGGATCGAATACCCCTTTCCCAGCTTAAGGAAAGGATAAGGAACAAGAAAAGTTTAGACATAGAGTCGAGAGGTATCGAAGACATTCAAGGCGAAGACTCTAAACAGGAAGAAGAATCAAGGGATGAAGAAGAGGACAAGGAACCTCCTGGACGAGAATTAACCACAGCAAGAAGGTTAGAGGTTGAACAGGAATCACCTCAGAAGATAAGATCAGGGAGGGAGAAGAACCCCAAATCTCAGTAGAACAAAAGGGCTGTGCAGAATAGGAGCATTTAGTGTCGACAGATAGCGACACTGGCTCATCAAAATCCTACTGTCTGACTATGGTAGATGTGAGTGGAGGGGATGGAGTCGCGGGCTGCACCTCACGAGGGACGGAAGAATTATTGGCATTGCTGATTGATCACCAGTAGTGTCTTAAAGTACGACCTTTAGAGTGGGCGCCACGCACACCTGACCGGACCATTCTGTCTGCTGGGGATTAGTTAGGGGGGGAAGAGCCGAGCTTAAAAAAAAAAAAAAAAAGTTATGAAATGATTGAGTGATGAGTCGAGCGGGACTAAGTGATTTGAAGAATAACAACAAGAGAATTTGTTACCTTTCAGGAATGATCAAGATGAAAGGGTTGGTGATGACGATGATGGTGATAGCCACGCTGGTGGTGACGATGGCGGAAGCCGGGAAACGCAGCCGAAACACCATTTTTAAAAAAAAAACGAGCCAAGTAATAATAACCAGGTCTAAGTGGTTGGTCACATTCGTGATAGATTTGAACCCGTATGAGTCGCTATTAGATAAGTTAGGAAACGAGCTGACGCAGCTGGATGCAGCCCGATTGAAAGTAGGACAAGATTATCCCAAGCACAAGGGGTATCTTAGCTTATTGCACTCCCTAGAATCAGAAGCCACTATGATAGAAGCTCAATGGAAAGACATGCAAAGCTACCTGCAGGGAATAGAGTTACTGCAGACGCGGGAACGAAGATCCGTACTCCCGATTGTGGGAAAGGCGTTGAGTGTCTTGTTTGGAACAGTAACTGAAGATGACGTTAAATTCATAAGAAGGAAACTGGGACAAGTAGAAGTAAATCAGAGGACGCTTGCCCAGGTGGCAAGAGAAAGTGTCACGATATTAAATGTGACAAGGTTAGAAGTATCAAAAATAGAGCCAGGATCAATTGGTTAATAGACAACCTGGCGAAACTAAGACAAGAGGTAATTAATAATACAGAAACTGTAATGATTGAGTTACAGGAAATAAGTGGATTCATGCAAAAATATTTCCAGCTAATGACGATTACGAATAAAGTACGACAAACTAGTCAGTCGTTGACGACCTTGCTGGAACACGTGAGAGCACAATTAGACATGCTGTCATTAGGACACCTCTCCCCAAGTATAGTAAATCCGGGTCACCTAAAGGAAGCACTACTTGGCATACAGGCCGAGTTACCCCGCCATTTAAGGCTACCAGTGGACCCCACTAAAGAATTGTGGAAGTACTATAATGCCCTTGGATGTGTGACCTTGTTAGAAAATAGACGATTATTGGTAGTAATATCTGTTCCGTTACTAGATAGCGAGAGTATATTCGAGATATACCAGGTTATAAACTTACCCATTCCCTACCCCAGAAGAGATCAAGGTTTGGGAATGATAGCAAGGTACAAGGTAGAAGCAGACTACATAGCATTAAATTCGGGGAGAACGAAATTCATGTTGCTATCAGCTGAAGAAGCTAGAAGATGTAGAGATGATACCCTGGGGACTTGTACCTCGTTGAGCCCTATCTATAAAACTGGTAACCGCAAACTGTGCATACTAGAATTGTTTGAAGGAAGGGGAGAAGGAATCAAAAGAATCTGCCAAGTAGAGGTATTAACAAACTCGGCGTTACCACAAGCTATCAGTGTTTCAGACGGGGTGTGGGCAGTAGCCACCCAGAAACATATCAGCCTGTCTAGGGTATGTGGGGGAGAGTCCACAAGGACATTAAGAATAAGGCCACCGTTATCCCTGGTGTCGCTACCCATGGGATGTTCGGCGGTTGGGGTGTCCATCTCATTGCCCCCCTATTACCAGATGGAAGAAAGGTATGAAGAAAAAGATTCACTCATCGAGACGATTAGTAGAGGCTTAGTCAATTGTACAGAATTATGGGAGCCGATAGTGAAGAGATTCTCTAATGTCACCTTAAATAAGATGCCAATTTTAATGAAGCCCATAGAAAAGATCGATATGGATCACTTAAGAGATAAGTTAAGTGCGCTGGGAGACGAAGGTGTAGCTTGGGAAGACGATGAGCAGATCGCGATAAATTGGTCAATAGTAATGGGTACATTCCTAGTTATAGCCATCGGGGGTGTAATAATATGGAAGATTAAGAGTAGGAGAAGATTAGCGAACGACAGTCTAGTGAGCATGCAACAACTCGAGAGGGAGATGCCGAGCGGTGTTCCTCACTCAGACAGAACTGGCGAAGAAATTGCTGGAAGACCAATGGAGGAGGCTGGCGTGAGACCACCACGTGCGGCGGAAAAACCTCCCACAGCAGAGAGGAAAACATTGACCAAGAAGAACAAACCCTAAAGAACACATCTGCACCTACAGACACACGCACACATTTCATTGCATGTAGAACAAAAGAAGATGAAAAGAACATTTCATTGCATGTAAATCAAAAGAAAATGAAAAGAACATTTCATTGCATGTAGAACAAAAGAAAATGAAAAGAACATTTCATTGCATGTAGAACAAAAGAAAATGAAAAGAACATTACATTGCATGTAGAACAAAAGAAAATGAAAAGAACATTTCATTGCATGTAGAACAGAAGAAAATGAAAAGAACATTTCATTGCATGTAGAACAAAAGAAAATGAAAAGAACATTTCATTGCATGTAGAACAAAAGAAAATGGAAAGAACATTACCCTTGCATGTTAGAAAGTAGAATAGAATTGCATGAGACGAATGCATGGTGCATGTTAAATGATGTAATTGGGTTTAGGTGTCATTTACGGGTAAATGACAAATCGGTTAGGGGAGGATTATGGCACCTTGCATTTATTGGAAATATTCATAGAAATATGAGTTAATTTTTTCTTATTCAGTTTATTAAACAGGTTGTTAATTTTTTTTTTTCTTTAAAACGGAAAATAACTGGGTTGAAAATAATTCACTAAGAATGTACTAAACGATCCTAAAGCAAGGAAAAAGAAAGAAAGGAAAAAGGAAGAAAGGAAAGATAATAACAAAAGGGGAAAGAAAGGAAAAGACATGATATCAAAACAGGCCGCTGGGTGTGGACCAGATGTCGGTCAGAGCCTCTGACTGACCTTAATTTTTGTTGAAAGAATAGAATTGGAGATATCGGTCGCGAGCGCTGACCGACATTTTCGTAGAAGAATTCTTATCAAAATAACGAAAGGTAACTTTTAAATTAGAATAATAGAAATGAATTTTACTTTAGTCAGAGAGAAAGTGTCTTTGGGTTGGGGAAGTGACTGGTGAAAACGATATACGGAATTGACCTGTTAAGAATTGGACACCCACGTTAAGAAAGTAGAGATATTTCGACCTAGATAATTAAGATTCTCGGCTATCAGGAAAAACAAAGAGGTAAAAAAGAAGAGCAATTGTTTTTGGACCACGGAGGGCGCCAGGAAGGCGGAAAAGATCCTTTCTAAAAGTCAAGACTAATTAGCAGCGGGCTGTTTGACAAAGTCCAGGTGAGAGAGGGCAAGGATTGTCATTTTGCGTACGTGCAAAAAGGTGCGAAATCGGATTTTGTTTTTTTAAAACCAGCACGATGTAACCACACCCGCCAACAAAAGGGAGAGGGTGTTCGGTCAATAACAATTGGTCGAATACAATCACGTGACCGCGGAAGAAGAAGGAAAGAAAACCTCGATCAATAACTGTTGGACGAGGCGGTCACGTGGGCTGCGGAAAGAAGAGAAAGAAAGGTTCGATCGGGAACGATTGGTTGAGAGCGATCACCTGACATGAGAGAGACTAAGAGAAATAGATATGCGCCGCCCCCCAAGAGCACTGTGAGAAAGTAGGGGTGAAAACAATAACGATAATGGAAAGTCAAAATTAATACGGCTTTTGAAATTGTCGAGAAACCCCTGACGCCGACCGACCCACCCCGGTTTGTTGCGGCGTCAATATAAGCAGGACCCCAGTCGGCAGAAATCAGTTGGAGCTGAAGTTGAGTTGAAGTTGGAGTTAGGTTGGGCGTGAGTTGCAGTTCACCTCGGACGACAGAAGAATCCTCGAAACAAGAAATCCTTCCAGCCCAAGTTGAAGACAAGAAATCTTCCACCGAATTGAAGCAAGAAATCTTCCACTGAATCGAAGCAAGAAATCTTCCACTGAATCGAAGCAAGAAATCTTCCACTGGGTTGAAACAAGAAATCTACCAGTCTAAACAAACGAAGAAGAAGAAATACAGCTCACGTCGAAGAGAAGAACCAACTGCGAACGACCGATAGAAATTAGCCCAATGTCGAACTGAACCACACGCCGACATACATACATGATTCTAGAAAGTAGGTAGTCTTTTTTTTTTTTTTTGCTATTTTTGTGATAGAAACTTGGTGCCATAGTTCACAGAACGGGTCGGGAAGTGAGAACTATTTTGCTTTTATGTAATAGACATTGAGATATAAAAGGTTGTTACCCTTTTTTATCAGCAATTTTGTTTGGTGTCGTGAGTTTTTGTTTTGTTGTGTTTCGCCACCCCCGTCGGACTCAGCTCGTATCGGCCCCAGCCCCTGCTGGTCCCGTCTGTCTAAGATCTAAACACAGCGTGGGTAGACAGACCGGAGATCGGTACAGTTGCTTTAGTGACCAGGTGTTGGAAGCGAGTCGGGAGAGGCGAGGCTGGTGATCATCTGACCAGAGGGTTGGAGCGGCACGCTTGGACCCAGGAGGAGCGACCAGGAGGAGCGACGTCACCGTCGGCGCCGTAACCAAAGGATCCGACACTGGGCCAGGTGTGTAACCGTCACAAAAGACAAACATCATATATTCAATACTGTTCTGAGTTTCAGGCTTTTGCATGTGAACGCACAGTCGATGTGACTTGATTAACTAAACTTCTAAGACATATCTTTAGATGAGCTTAGAATTGAATACGGAAGACCGTGTATCTCCGATTTTACATATGTGCATATCCTAACGAATTAAAATATTATAATGTGACATCGTGACAATAGTTTCTTCTTTAGTCAAACAACAATTCTGGGGCTTCCTAGGGAAACAGGGACCAAATAGGTCATCAGCTAATTCATTTTCTAGTTATTATCTATCTTTTCAAACTCACTTTGAGTAAGGTAAAATGCTAGACAGGGGAAACGGGACAGGAAGATTATGCTTACCTAATCATTATTTTTAATTCATTTCACCTAAAGGAAAGGGATGATACCATTCAGACGCAAGGTGTTACTGGGAATGAAAGACATTGAGAAAGTTTGTTTTTTTTTCCTGAAGGGAAAGGACAATCAAAACTGGAAGAAAGAAGACAGAAAATGGCGATTAATATTGCAGTTAAATTTGTTTTAATAATTTTGGTGACACTGAATCAAGAAACCGATAGTTCTAGAGGTGTGAGGTGCCAGAAAAGAAATTATTTTTATAGAACATACGGTTGCAGCTAATTATTAGAAAGTTATTAGTATAAAATATACTAAGTATACGGCTA